CTATATTGCTTGTATGCAAAAATATACGATATAATGGACCGAACAGTTTCTCGAGAAAGCCTCGTATGAGTGTGAAAACAAAGGTTTAAATTGTATATAGATATTCCTTTACAAGTTTTTACTATACCAAGATCTTTGTTATCTTTGTTTTAACTTTGGAAATAAGAAAAAAGTTGTCCAACTTATGCATTAAATAATTTTTGATATCTATGTATGCTTGCAAAAATATTTTGGTATGCTGGGTATGCTGGCAGAAGCAGAAAGTAGAACTATTTTTATGCTCAGAGGGAGCCACGTGTGCTAAAGGGGAAGTCCCGAAAACAGACAAGATATCCACTGCAGCTGTCTATAAAGATTACATACTAACATAAAATGTATATACTCTCGTTACCACTTTGTTTCTAAAGTACTTCAAATTTTTTCTTATTAATAGTAGCCTTTCCATAAATTTTTTTTACTCATGATTACGCCCAACACTAGCATTATAAACGAAAAGATGATATACGAGGTAGTGCACGATACAATATGATGGTAGCTGATGACGGCCGATTTATGAAAACATAACGTACACACATATATATCTTCCTAACAGGTACAATACCCATGTATGAACATTTTTTTTTTTTTTTTTTTTTTTTTTTTTTAATTCATCATAGCCCCCTAGGGGCTCAAACATGGCTATTTTGAAATATAAAGTGTATTTATCCATACGTTGTTTAATTAACAGTAGGTAAGAAACGGTACGTAAAAACGGTAGGTGTATTGAAGCTCAAATCCCATTCAGAAAAAAACCTCATTTATTAATGAAATTGTGGTCCAGAAAGGGATTTCAACCCCGGCCATCAAGATCTGTAGGCAGATACGCTATCGACAGAACCATCATGTGGTTCGTATGAACATGTGCATCGTTGCGTACAAACTCAAAGAACCATTTAATTACTCCTTTATAAATTTCACTAATTGTTAAAGATAAACATACGTACGAATGGAAAAATCACTTATTTTTGCATACAATTACAATCATTTACACTGACTGCTTTAATACCATGTATCTTACGGTACTCTTCCGGTAAAATTTTCTGTATTTCTTTTCTACTGGCGGTACTTACAATACAATTTTCAAAAAAGTTTTGGCCATCCTTCATGTAATTTAAAAAATATCTAGTTACAACCACAACATTATACTGCTAGATTAGTTCAGTTACTTTTCAACAGTCGTCCATGTCAATCTGCACTTACTCGCAGTGGTTATATTTATGTAACCATAAGAAAATATCTAAGTTAAAATAAAAATCGTCAAAATTTTCAATTTGTCACTCCTGATCGGTTTTTAAGTGTCTTATAAATGGACGGAATTTCAAAAAATAAATTATCTAATAATAAAATTTTTACTACAGCTTTTTTTACTATAGCACTTTATCATTTTACTGATAAACAGTTAATGTATAAGTATAGTAGTAGTATCTCGTTTTGGGCAAAAAAATGCTGTGGTTTTAAAAAAACAATTTGTTCATTTTTACACGCAGTCTTTTGCTACATATTTTTACTTATTTCTGCATAAGAAATATCTTAAAGAATTTTGTTTGCATCTTAAATACTGTCTTTTTTGAAAACAATATTGAAACAAATGATTTACCTTGATTTACTAAACCTTTTGCGTACGTGTTGAAATTTTTATTTTGAAATTCTTGTTGAAATAGACCAGAGTGATGAGTGTATTATGAAAACTGCATTGAATACACTATACTTTAGTTACTGATTTTTATATAGATAGTTTTGAAGTTGATGATATTGAAATTGACTACAAAAACAGGATTTAACTTTTTAAACTTAAATAGAGTTTACTTATAAAAAAAGGACTTTCCTAAATCACATGATAAACTTGGTTCAGTTACAAAATTTTTTCGCAAGTATACTATGACAAATAATTTTAATTTACAATTAATATTAATAGAATAATAAGAAGCATACAGTTGATTTGAATAGACAAATTATTCGTATAAAACCTAATAAAAATTCTTCCCTCAAATTTAGGTGTGTACGTTAAACGATGCTTATGAGTATGATCAAGAATGAAAGACTTACTTTTCATAGAGCTCAGTAAAATGTATATTAATTGTTAAATTGTGATGTTAAAGGTTCGAATGAGATATGCAATGAAAAGCTTGTGAAACCATCTCATTTTCATAGTGAACATACTTTAAACACTATACGTAATGCCTTTGAGATGGTATCACAAAGACTTGATAGGACGGTTAAAAATAAAATACGTAGTGTGCAAACACATTTGAAAAACATCAAAACTCTCACTGTCAGACAGGAAAGATGTGAATAAAAATAAAGTGCAACCATGCGTACTCACTACTAAGTGTATCAATCATTACAGTCTGGAGACTTTCAAAAAATTTTTGGAGAGTTTTCAGACTACCTAATGGTCTATTCACTACAGAATTTTTTCCAGTTACAAAATTTAATATTAATGATCACTGTAAAGAGCAGCTTCCATTGTTATTAGTTATTGAAAAAGAAATTTTTTTTGCAACCTAGCTATTCAACTATATCTATATTTTAGTGTGGCAGAATTATAATAGGAACTGTTTATCTTTCAGAATATTTCTATCGATTTAGAAAAAGTTTTTAACTGTAGTAGTTGGGAATGGAAATCAATGGTACTTAGATTAAGCAGCTGAAAATTAGAGTGAAAGCTTAAAAAAATAGTAAAATGACCAAGAGAAGTTTTGTCACGTTTAGAAAAAAAACGAAGAATCGTACAAAAAAAAGCGTTTGATAAAAAGAAATGCGCAATTAAAAGACAAACAAAATCAGTCACGTTAGAGTCAAATCAGCTAGGCTATTTTTTTGCAAATCAGAAAAAACCGTTATTCTTTACCATTCTTTTAAGAATTAATAACATTCGTTCTGATGAATATTAAGAGTTGTAATTTGAACCTAAAGAGCGTTTGAATAATGACCCAATGTTGACAAACAACTTTTTTAGAACCATTTTTCGAAAAGGTAATATCTACTTTGTCCAAGTTTCAACTCTTTATATTAATTTTAAAAAAAATTATAAGTTTTCGAAATAATGGTCAAAAATGACAGTTTTTTTCGATTTGGCGAAAAATGGCCCAATCGATATGAGTCCAAAGTAGATTATTTCATTTGTCTTTTGGTTATGAATTTTTTTCATTATACACTTTTTTTACGATTCTTCATTTTTCTTCTAGACGCTATGAACCTGTTTCGGCCATTCTTTCCATTTTTCGGGGCCTTTTTCTTACTTCAGTTACTCAATTTTCGTACCATACGCCTTCTGTAATAAAATAAGGGTCGTACCTGATGAGCATTCAACCAGGGTAAGCACAAGGCATCTTACGAGATTTACTTCACATTTCCAATGCGTCACCATTTACGAGAGCTATTTATGTAGGTAAATATACGTCAAATTAAATATACTCTTCGAAGCTAATCTGCAAAGTTATAGTTTTTCGTGTTATTTGACGATTTTACTATTATTTTAATCAATTTAATAAACCAATCAATAAAAAATACTGTTTTTGTAGCATCATTGAAACACAGATGATTCATTTGTTTCTAGAGTAATTTAAAGTACAACGATAAAAAAACTTTTTAAAAAATGTTAACAGTATAAATTTTAGTTTCTACGAATGTCTACCTGGTAGGTGAGATCATAAAAAAACAAAGGTGGATGAAAACTTTTTCTACGACTTATAGATGTGCAGATGTAAGTGAATAACTAAGTTGCCAAATGGATTTATTTGTTTAACAAAAAGTTAAATAATAATGAAAGCTGCCACTTTTAGTTGTCAAGATTATTTTTTGCGGACGTCTAGAAAAATTCTGTAAGGGATAAAGTAATTTTTGGATTGTCTGAATACTTCTCGAAAAATCGTTATTTTTGAAGCTAAATTCCCCGGACGAAAATGTGCTTGTTTTGTTACACAAAAGTGGAGATACGTGCTTGAAATGTATTTTGCCACGTATGTGAAAAAGTGTGTTCGGCTACAATCTAAGATTACAACAAATGGATAAAAGATTCATAAAAAATGTTGGTTAAACATACTATAGTATGTGTCTCATCATAAATTCTGACTGTTGGAATTATATATATTTCTACGTTTTTATCATATTGAGATTCGTGTCATGAAATTTAGTAGAAACTTTTTATGCCTTCTAAAGCAGCTCAAATTCACATGCTTTTTAGTGAGTCATTCAAGGATCCAAGTCCGTTACATTACTTTAATAAAATATTGTCAAAGAAAATCATGTCTTCTTTCTGAGGTAATACTTAAAATGAGTTTTCATTCTGTATTACATAATGCAACAATGTTATAAAAAACATTTAACGAATTTTTAGCAAGTTATGCGTAAGAAGTACTATGCTAATTAAGTAAGAAATTGTATCGTGCTTTTAATTATTTCGCCAGAGCAATGGCAGTAGACATCTTTTGAGCAACCAGTTTGCATGAGATAGACAAGAATAGAAGAACGTAGAAGATATATCTGACATGTAAGAGTTTTGAGAAAATTAAAAACTTTTGTATTTTACTTCAATAGTGTTCTACTTTTTACGCGGCATGTTGTAAGTGATACACCAATTTCACTATTAGGTATGAGTGTGTATGTCAGGTGTTTCGACGTATTTGTGTTAAGAAAAAGTTAATGAATTATGTATGATGTTGTCACCTAGACTGTAACGCTATTGTATTACATTTAAAATGAAAATTTATATGCGTGTTCAAGTAAAAATCTCATTGATTTAAGTGTTGGGACGGATGTTAAGTAGCCTACGGTAATATTTTTTTTCACGCAAAAAAACAGGTTTTTTTCGGTTTGATGAAACCATTTAATTTTCGGTATTTATATATGTATTTAAAACCATATATATTCGTTTTCATCCTTTCATAATTGTTAAATAAGGTATTCTTACAGCAAAGAGTCAGAATAATAAATAACATAGAAAGAAAAGATCAACTGACCTGACGGACTACCGGGCCTCAAACTGGACCCATTCGTCTGAATTGGGACGGGACTGGGCGGCCGTTGCGAAACTGGAGGCTCGAGGATGTCTCGGTACTTTGATACCATTAGTACAGAGATGAAGTAAACTATAGCCAGAGACAGAAACTGTGCCTGTTTGGTTTCCTCCTGAAAGATTTAAATGGAGTTATTAATTATTTAATTCTATAAATTTTTACTTTTATCATTAAACATCACTGCTTCATTATCGTATCTTATATAGTTTTAGGAGAGCAAAGAGTATGACTATCTGGAAATCAATTTATCACACGATAAATAAATTCTCACAACATTTGGGCGTACTCTCAGTTATGCGTATGTTTGTTATCGATTTTCCATACTTACTCAAGCAATTAACGTTTGATTAAGTTCAAATGAGCTGGTTAACTACTTAAAAAAAAAGATGGATAATCTATGAAGAGCAGGGAGTTAAAATAAGTAAAATAATATAATTCGAACCTATTTGATAGCCCAACACCATTAAATAAAAGAACCGATTTATGATACTTCATACTATAAGATGAAAAAATAATTTTGAATGAAAGACAACTTTTTTTAAACTAGCTCTTGTGTATTTAACTTATAAAAGAAAATAATACATTCCTCTGAGTTATGTCTATGTAATAAGAACTCAAATATTACAGCCTTTTTATATTATAATAACATAGAGATCGACCGAAAAAAAATTTCTTTTACTTTTTTGATCAGCAAATAAAAATTTATACATAGAAATTAATTCACTTTGAATCTGTACGTTTATCAGGAAAAGTTTTTTTTTCATTTAATCTTTCATAGCTTAGATTATTTCCTACAGTCACACTTTTTTCTCTGACAATACTTGTAGGATTCGTACCTCATATTTGAAAGCATGAGTTATAGCATACACTAAATCATGTTTCTGTTATGATATACAATTTATCAATTTATTAATTAAAAGTGAACTTACAACATCTCTGTAAATAACAGCGCGTAGCCTGTTTATATCCATATCTTGTAGAAGCTTTTCTGGATCTTTGACTGAACTAAGCTGATTTGCCAAATTATCTACGACATTCTGGAAAACGAGTAACAAATAAATGCTAATGAGGTACCTGCATACATAAAAAATGCTAAAATAAACTTTTTACAAAAATGATGGGTATCAATATATTCTCACATAATTAATTTAAAAATGATCGATATCTACGGTTCTATGAAAGCCAAAGTAGATAATGTGTAGCACTATTCCGACATGTTAGAGTTTTTCTAAATCCACTTTGTTAACAATAAAAAAATTTTACGTGTGTACTTACTTCTTGTGAATATTGAGTAATTTTTTTCTAATTTCTTAAGCAAAATACTACAAATGAAATCAGCTATTTAGTTCTCCGAATTTATTGAAGGCTCAAAAAATCGCAATGATTTTAGCAATGAACAATTTTATTGATATTAAGTCAATTAAATATGAGTGACTTTGACAAATTTTACTTGTTAAACATTTTTTTTTCTTTATTTACATACCTTTGGTGATGTTTGGGCTGCACGCATTAGAGAGTGTATGTGCTGTGCTTTATTACTAGAACCAATCTGTCGACCTAACATGCTGTACGTTCTGCCGCGTTCTTTACACTCTAAGCAGTTTCTAACAGCACATGTACAGACCTAAACAAGCAGTTTTTGTCGACATTTAAAGTATAAAGTGTGTTTTTAAACTATGTTATATCGATACTAGTACTATTATTATTGAGTAGTCTAATAAAGCTTGGATTAATCACAATATTCATTGCACAATGAAAATTCAATACTCTAAATTTATTTAGAGTATTTGTTATCTACATTGTTTAAAGCAAAAGCCATTTTTAAAATCTATAGTGTAATACTTAGTGTGACAACGTTGGATTCTTCAGTACGCTTAAGAATTTTTATTATTTACAAAAGTACCCAACAACTACTAAAATAATTTCTATGGCAAAAATAAGATTAACATTGTTGAAAGCTTGAAGTGTTAAAAAATCATCACTAGTTTCATTTTGGCCAACTTATTTGAGCTACAATTAAAATTGACCAATGTAGAATACCAAATTTGGATGATTATTCAATTTAAATAACTCCGTTTCTTAGGAGTTTTCGTCGTTGAAGTAGTTAAAAACATACAATAATTGGAGGATAAAACTTCCAAAACAAAAGTTCCAGAAAGAAACACTACCAATACGTACATTTTTTTTTAAACACTGAATGATACACAATTTATTTTTAAAAATTTGAGATGTTCCAATACTTTGTATTCCTAGAGTTACTTTATTAATATTGTAATAATATTTTATGAGTTTCAGAAGAAGTCATGTACTTTTAATACATTTAAATTTATTTTGCTTTTTCGACATTTCTACAGATTTTTTATTTTTACAAATTTATTTCTTAAAGCTTAGTTCCCCGCGTTTAGTTTTTAATATTAGTTTAATTTTTCGTCTCCCGGCAGTTTAAAAGAAAGATTATTTATATTTTAAGTATATTTACATCAAATTATTTTTGCGATACATTTTGTGTTTAAATGAAACTTTTCTACATTGGAACTATATTATCTTGGAACAGTCAGATTGGTTGGAACTTTTGAATTGGAATTTTTATCCACTGATTCATAAAATAGTTATAGTAATCGAAAAAATGTTTGCTCATTACTATACATAATAAAAGCTATTATCTATAACCAAATAATCTCACTTGTACTACAAAGTAGCTACAAACCAATCGTAAGCATTGTCGCAGTATTCCACCACTAGACATATTTTTCTCAGCTTCCAATTCTCCAAAGTTCAAGGAGCTAGCAAAAATAAGTACATCTGCCATATTAACAAGCCTTTGGAGAAACGAAACCGCCACGTCAATTGGCATTCCTTGAGTAGGTTCAATCACGTCCATTTCGCTCTGTAAAATTTTTTAGTTCAAAGATTGATAATCTTTCAAGTTAAGAGAAAAAAAAAATAGTAAAATGTTTATTAGTTCCATAGATATTATTTTTTATCAAGTTATACTTACATTTGGCGATGTGGCAGAGGCAAGCAGAGGTAAAAGACCACCGCAAGCAATAATTAAATTATCGGCTAATTGCGAGATCAAGTGTACAGTATTAACAACAAATATCGCATTATCACTACTGTTAACAAAGTCCAGTACTGATTTAGTGGAATGGCTAAAAAGAGTCATGGCCCATTAGATAATGCAACATTAACTACATAAATTACTCGAAATAACAAGATTTGTTGTATACCTTCGCCAAACTTGAATGTCTGTTTCCAATGAAAATAATACATCAGACAATAGTCTTTGATGAATGTATGACCATTTGAATTCTGGTATTCTAAAAGGTGGCCTTGAAGGTCCTGGACTAAACATTGGTCTTGTGGAGGGATTCGTTTGTTTCGTTCGGCTTTTAGATTCTGGTAATAAATTGAAATTACAATTGTTTCAAACTTAAATTCTTCTAAGATAACTCATAAAGTTATAAAATAAATTATTTTGATGATCATTTAAAATATAAGTTAGAGTTATTTCAAATTTCAACACCAAATATTATAATTATAATGTTTGAACTATACTCTAATAAATTTCATCAGTAAAATACTCTAATTTTGCAGCAAATATTAAACTTAGCCAAAATGATACCAATACAGTTTCATGGATAATACCGTTAACGATTCAATGAGTGGAATTATACTATGTACAGTGGAGGCCGTTTAATTCGTTGAGCGGGAAGTATAAAATTGACCAATGAAAGAGGTTATGTGATCAAATCAGCCAATGGAAATTAAATGTTTGAATTTCCCGCTCAATGAAGTAAACGGCCTCCACTGTACGTGAGTTTACCAAATCGTCTTGATTTTGGGCTGAGCTTTTCTAAAGCCTATTTAATTTGGTGATTGATTGCTACTATTTATCATAGCAATTGTTTTTGAAAACCTCCCCAACATTATGAGAACTTCAAAACTAAAGTAAATTTTGGCCAATGCAGAAAACTAAGAAAAATTTAATTGAAATAATTTTAAAGCTAGAACCAGCACACGATATGATCTTGATCCTAATCTTACGATGGACGATGTGTAAAATAATTTTGCTCATCGTAATCCTTTTTTAAAAAAGTAGAGAAAGCTTTGGCATTATAATAAAAATAGATGCTTCAAATTAGTCTCAGCGAGACATAGTGCATGCAAACCCAAAGTTCAACACAGATACAAAAATGATGACACATGGTATCCTAACGAAATTTGTACTGCTTCTAAGCGGCAAATTATTTTCAAGTACCACTAAACTCATAAGCAATTAAAAAAAAAAAAAGGTGTATCTTTTGCGCTAACCAAAATTATTAGATTCGACTTGTGTCGAAGTAGAGGCACTCCTTGGTCGTTTCTGAGGCGAAGACTGTTTCCTCGCCGAGGTCGAGGCACTGTCACTCTCGTTCCCATCGGCATCCACCGCGCTCTCGGACACATTCGTCGGCAGACTAGACCTGCGCCTGGGCGCTTCGCTGCTGCTGTCCTCGATATCTTCGTAGTCTAGCGGCATCGTATCGACATTCACGATTTTAGCTTCATTGGCAGCAGCAGCGGCAGAGGCTGCCGCAGCGTCCGCGGCTTCGCAGACTGTCGATATCGTAGGGATTTGCTCTTTGGCATTTGGCACTTGCGTCACGCTATCTACAGTTGGGTCGCTGGACTGTGCAGCCTCCTCCTCGCCGTTCATGCAAACGTCGTTAGGGTTCGCGCAAATTGTTGAGTTATTAGCGGCGTCGTCATCTGTAGTTACAACGGATGGAATATCACTTAACTCGGGTAAAACTGAGATAACTTTTTCTTCCTCTTCCTTCTCCTGCTTATCATTTAAGTTAGTAGAAACTATGGACGGCTCCTTTGCGTTGCGCTTGGACGTGCTCTCATCGAATTCTTCTTCTTCTTCTTTCTCCAAAACTCCCTCGTTGCCATTCACAATGTCATCTTTCGATTCGTTATCCTCACTCGTGTATTCACCATTTACTATTGGACAACTTGCTACAGCGGTAGTGTGTACAATTTTTTCAACTTCGTTTTTAGTTTCGACTTCCTCTTGGTCCACTGCGTGTGCGACTATTTCGATATTTTCAGTGGGCTCTGTCAAAACATCACAAATCCTCGTTTCTCCTTCCTCTTCCTTATAAATTGGCTTCTTTTCATTGACTATGGCGTCTGTTATCAGTTCATGAGGTGGTTCTGGGAACTCTTCGGACTCTTTTTCAACGTTTACGGTCTCTTTGTCGAGATTCTCATCAGCAACGTGTTCTTTCGAATCTTCATCATACTCTTCCGCAACTTCGCAACTGTTTTCTTCCTTTTTTTCTTTACTAATTGAATTTCTTCTCTCAACTCCATCTTCTATGCTATCAGTTTTCTCGGACGAGTCGTTTGCTTGTTGTACGGTTTTCATATCAGTATTGACTACGGTGTTCGTCGCGACAACAGTTTTTTCGTTCTCTTCCAAAACAGCACGTTTTCCCTTGGAAGAAACTTCAACTGCGGCTGCATCAGCTTCACTGGCCTCCGACTTATCGGAGTATCCGTTCGTCATTTCCTTGGCCGGTGACGAGGGTGAAGATGTCCCGTCAGCTTCGACAAGATCCATGTTATCTTCACTCGTCTCCATATCCGGCTTGTTGGTTTCTTCTTCCGTTGGTGGTTCGGTAGACGGCGCAGACTGCATCGACTCCTCGCTCTCCCTGATAGTCGTCAGGGAATCCTCGTTGCTTTTGTCCCCGTTTCCGGGCTCTTCTGTTTCTTCGTCCCTCTTCGTGGTTTCGTGTACCATCGAGTCGGGACTCGAGCTGACTTCGAGCTTCGGCGCGTCACTGAGAAACTCACTTGAGCTCTCTATTGACACGACCTCGCTCGTTTCGTGCGTCGACAGCTCGCTGTTCACTTCCTCGAGGGTCATCGACGTTTCCGTGTGCTGCGAAGCGGGCGGGACCATCAGTTCTGGCTTGTCACTAAGCCGGGACACTGGCGATACGGCTTCGCACGACTGCGGCCGGCTGTCAGTACCATTGGTGGCCTCGTTTCTCGAAGCAATTATCGCTGGGCTGCCACCTTCGCTCTCTGTATTGTCTATCGAGTTCAGATCGCAGCTGCACGATTCGTCTAGACGATCATTGGCTTCGATCGCGTCGTACTCCTATTAATAATAATTTCATGGGTATTCTTACAACTAATCCATTATCAGATCCATTTACTTTGTTGCAATTACTAAAAGTTACCTTGTAGTTCCCATCCATGTGCTGCAATTCTCGTGACTGATCATTTACCCACTGGTCAGACCGGTTGTAGCCATTGTTGCCCGAATGCTGCTGATCCCATCCGGATATTGTACTGATTGGCCTCTGCTGTCTGACTTCAGGATCGGTGATGTTATCCGACCGTTGCCTCTCATAGTGTTCGTACATTTGAGCAAACTGTAACTTAAACTCCTCGTAGGATACCTAAATTGAAGGAGGACATTTTCTGTTATCACAGGATGAAACATTACTCTGCGAAGGTATAGAAGGTAAGACGTACTTTAGAATGTACAATGGCGAGAGTGTCGACCCACACTCTCCAGCCTCCGTACTCGTGTTTAATCGCATGATGCAGCAACATGCGAAAGAGGGAGTACACCATCTCCGAGATTTTCTGCTCTTCCGTGTTCTTTGGATGAATGTAAGCCATAGCTATCAACCACTCCTGCCATACAGACATCTGTAGGACCGTTCGGCGATTTTCACGATTGTGGTTACAGAGAAGAGTCATGTCCGAAAGAAAAAGTTTCTTCACGTCGAGTAGCTGTTCCGTCTGTTTCGACTGTCGGATCAGCGTCGCGACGACTTTCAGGATCACTAAAAAGTATTAAATTTGTATAATGAGGTGTAAAAATACAGAGCCATGAAAATTCAAACGAGCTTACTTGGGTTCTCTAATCTGTAATGGGATTCGGGTTCCGGGTGTCTCGTGTAAAGAATTTGTTGGCTAATGTGTTCGGTCATTATCTGAAACAAGGTTTTTCTGCATTAATAAAATATCCTATGAAAAAAAAGGAAAAAGTTGTGAAAATCCTACCAACCTCGTATAAAACATTGTAAGTGGATAAAGTAAGGGTCTCCTCATTCAAAAGTAATCTCTCGGCGAGTAACGTGTACAAGTTGTGAGGACTCATCACATCGTACTTTCTTCTGCAACGAAATAAGAATCGTTATTTATAAAGCAGGACGGGGATGCAAGTACAAATTGTGATGGCTTTGCATCTAAAGTACTAACTTGTGTGTGCTACGGCTAAGGAAGAAGCCAAGTAACTTCAGTGCCTGCAGCCTGATCAGTTGACTTTCGGCTGCCAAAAGCTTGAATATCGTCCTGACACCTTGTTTGACGTCGAAAGCCGGCACCATGGACGACGGGTGTTCCGACATCAAGGATATCAGCATTTGCAGAACATCGTGTAAGTTTTCATCCTACAGAGCAGTGAAGACCAACCGGTTAATCATCACAGATAGTTTTGTAATACTTCGTTAACCATTTTATAATTTACCTCGTGCATCGTCGTCAGGTAGTTTAAGATGCTTTGAAGTTCGTCGTCCTTGACGCCATTCCCAACCATGATAATCTGCTTCAAGAACAGTAAGATGTACGACCGTATCGTCAGGATGTCTTTCTGTGGTGGTCTTGGCCCATCTGTCAATACAGTGAAACGTCATTGAATATCGCATCTATACAGTACTATGTCTCATTATCCAAAACATGTGAAAATCCAAGAAAATGTATTGTTTGGTTTTTAAGCTAATGGTTTTTCACGGTTGATATCTTGTATTCAAATGATTCTCCTTTTTGAGGGATGTCAATAGCTGGACAACTTGTTTGATAAGATCTAACCAGCAAGAAAAATTTGGAAAGGAGGGAAAAACTGCAAAATTGAGTTTGTATAAATTTGAAAGTAGGATCGAAACACCCGTAAAAAAAAGGTAAATTTACCATAACTAGTTATGTTAGACACGCTTCGTGCGTTTTAATTATTTTGTAATTCGATTTGATTTACATTGATGAAAATTTTTCTATTTCGTCATCCAATTTTAATATACAATAGAAAAAAATAACTCTCCTACATTTTCTATCATGTAAAAGGAAAAAAATTTATTTTCGTGCTATCTATTATTTGGATCTTTTCTTCAAACTATTAATTGTATTAACTATTATTTAACTTTGGATACCACAATAAATACTTCAAGATTTTAGCTTAGTAAAGTTATTAAATTTAAGAGTACAAACAAATCAAATAGTATCCAACTCCAGATAATTGTAACAACGCAGACTAATTTTTTATTTAAATTGTTACTTCGATTTAACGAAATTGATATTGAAAGTAATTTTTTTCAACAATCCGTGTGATCTATTTAAATCCAAACATATAAATTATTTAGTTATCTTACGTTACAAAATTTTATTTATTTTAAGTATAGGCTTTTCAAAGTATGTTTTTTAAAATTCATTTTCAAATTCACCCGCTCTTCTCTTGAGTCTCGTCCAATCACAGTACGAATAAAAAGGCTTCAGTCACGGGACAATCATTCTTTTGGTATAGAAAAACCACTAAGTGATGCTCGAGAAAAGCAAGTAAAAAAGTTATAAATGTTAAATATTGGTAACTTATTTCCTCTTTCACTTGCTCATCGATTCAATAATCAACATCAGTAGTGAGCAAAACTAATACTGTTAGTAACTGGGGCATCGGAAAATTGTATACCCTTGTATCCAAGTATTTTGTTTTAGCTACCTAAGAGTGTCAATAGTTTATAAATCGTGGGAAGTTAACATATACAAATATTTTAAGGCTACGTGTCTATAATACATACAAATGCAATAGCCGTGAATAGTTGCCAGTGTCAAATCACCAGTTATACGTATAAACGCAGCCTAAAGTATAGAAGTGACTGTTTAGCTATAACGAGAGATTGCCGAACCAAAAAAATCGAACGCTCACCTGTTTTGCATGACAATGTATCACAAGTAGAACTAATAGTTTAATTAACACATCAATTGTACAGAAAAAAAAGACTGTCACATGCCATTCAACCTACCTAGCCCTTTGGGAGTGATGCCGCTCTTACTACGTGGGTTCGCAACCCAGTAGTAATACTTGAGCGTGTGGACGGTCTGTAAGACGGTGGAGACCCGCCTGACGTTGGAGTAGATTTGCGTATCCTTGAGAAAGTCGGTCGCCAAGTAAGAGTAGAGGTGCGTCTGGACGGGTGCTGGCGTGTAAATCCAGAGGGCCGGATTGAAGAGGATGTTGTCGAGCAGCTGCCATATCAGGAATGAAAAATAGAAATACTACAATCACCATGGGTCTGCCTGTTCTTCGGACACACCAATCTTGCTCGACTTTTAAACTTTTTCTACTTCCCTCTAATATATCATTGTAACGTTTTTTCCCCTTTAACCTCACTTTTTTGTGTTTTTTAACTCGTCTATTACGTCTAAAGTCAGACCTATAATTGACTATGATTATTACGTTCAATGGAAATCGGTTGCAAAACCCAGATCGCACAAACAGCAATGATATTATATCGTAGAAAACGGGGGTGGGGTGGGGGGAGTTATGGATGTGATAAATGATACCCATACGTGCATACACACTTCGTAGTCTGTAGTCCATATCAAGCAAGTTCAACATCCTGATGAAATTCATACTTGGCGACTCCACTCACGAATGTTCGCTGCTGCGCTCGGATTGCATAATGAAAAAGAAAATAAAAGGGGGGGGGATTCGAAGGAGAAGAAGGAGGGGGGCTTGCTTTAACTTCGATTACGAATTGCACTGAACGGTATGAAGTACCGCAGTGATCTGAGCCAGAAACAAGAACTTTTTTCTTCTCTCTCGATTACCCTGTTTTTCTCTCCGTTTGCGTTCCGAGTGCTTATTCGAGCTGCTATGAGAGAAATCGTTAGGTAAATGTGAATAGCACGTTAAACTAGCTTGGTATATATGGGACAGTGCGTATGCGTGTGTGGGGTAACACATAACACTTATTTATACGTGATATTATTTCTGTTTGCTCGACCGAGTTGTAAACAGCTTTCCATTTAACTGATGGAAGAGCCACAAGTGAATGCATAAGATCGTTCAATGCTTGTGCATCAAATGTTATATTTTAGTGTTCAATATGCAAAGCTAGCATAATCCTCACTTACGACTGGTCGGATCCCTCGTACGAGGATCCTACCTTCATAATCAAAAATTACTTTAATTTGTTGATCCTCGTTGTTGGCAGTTAAATAAATTATTACTACTGCATGGTACTAAGATTTTGTTTTTTGTTTTTTTGACCAAAAACTTTCCAACGAGTGTTCTATGATTAAAATTAATTTTCAGAAAAAACCCCTTGGATGGTATAACACGTTTTGTAGTTTTTAGAAAAATGGATAAGGTTATCACACACAATGG